GTGAATGTGTGCCGTAATCAAAACTAAAGGTTGTCCAATAAAATATCAGAGTATGTGACCTTTGTTTTGGTGGTGACTTTTTTTTGGCTAGGCAGTGTATTTCTGAGATGAGAAGTAGTAGTTTAAAGGAAAACATTGAAACAGTCATGCCAGGCCAGTAGGTGGCGACGTCGTTAACAACACAGTAAAATACATTTTTAGCTTGGGTAAAGATTTTTGCAAAACAACTTGTGTTGCTTTTGATATTTACAATTTCCTCTCAGTAAGTCTTTGACTGCTAATGACAGTTTGAACGTGACAAATCAACAACAACAAAAAAAAAGAAGTTGCTGCTGTAGAAAAGGGCATTTTAGAAGCACTCGCTGCTATGACTCATCCTGTGACTTGGTTTGTGAATGGCCTGCAGCCAGCTGGTGTGAAGTGAAATCATCGACTTGGTCGAGGAGGTTTTAAGACCTGAACTGGAAGCAGGTAGGGTGATCAGCCATTAAAAAGCTTCTGAACCCACACCTGGTCAACTCTAATAGGTCAGTATCGAGACTACAGGAAATGGGCTGGAGTGACKAGTACTTTTCAGTGTTTAGAGGATATATTAAAACTCTGTTTCTATGCAGGAAATACCATGTAGAGCTTAGTTATTGKTTGTTAATGGTGCTCTGCCGTAGTCCAAGTTAAACATTGCCAAGTCAAGTGGCAGTTTGTCAAAATTGTTTGAAAAAAAAAATGCTATAACAAATGATTCTGATAATTCAAAAGATCTTCAACAAATAATAATTTATGTAGCATTTAGAGAATAAACCTTCATTAAAACCCAATTCTTTTATTTTAAAATAAGAAAGAAAGAAAAAACAGAAAAAGATAACTAAAGTTGATTCTCTGGTATTCTTTTCACACCTAAAATAAAGATTACTGAAAAATTCTAACYGAATTTTCTTGACTTGAAAGCTGGTCAGCTGTCTTGAGAAGAATCCTTTGACAAAAAGAGAATCCATGAAACCATTTCATATTTCAAGTATTAACTTTGGGGACAGACATTATGTTACGGAGGGTCAGATATGGCCCGCAGGCCTTCAGTTTGACACATTTCTTAGATGGTTAGGGTTTTTTTTTTCCTGTTTTTAGGCTTTTAAAAAAGGTTTGGCATAAAATTAATCACCTTACCAATGACTATCAGCTAAAGCTGTGGTCTTCCTTTAATAAAAAATATTCAGTTTGTGAAAATAGTCTGAACCATCTGCGGAGTTAGTCCAAAGAAGACTCCGTTTGGAGGGTAATTAATGAAGCATGAAGTCATCTGGAGCTCTACACTATCTTTCAAACTAAACGCTTTGTGGCCGAGCAGAAGCCGACGCACGTCTGTGTAATCCCACAACCACTTTTTGTTCACATCCTGGTGCGAACTCGTCCCGCTGGTCTGCTCTGATTATGCAGAGCCCCCATGTGGAGCAAACATGCGCRCACACATGCACATAAAAGAGAGGGCAGACATCTGGTACATGAGAGCTATGAGTAATAGGTTGATTAGGAAATGGGGCTTTGTTAAATTCCCTTTGCACATCAGAACTGGATCCACACACACACACACACACAAAACGTGTTTGGGGGGCAGTTTTTGTGGTTGACTAACACGCTCTGTCCCCAAAAGAGCTGAGACAGCTAGCAGGCGACCACATCTAAAAAAAAAAAAGAAAAAGTGTAGTGGAATCTCTCCATGTCAGCGTAGTTGACTTTAATCGAGGGGCTGTGGATCTCCAGAGTGTCTCTGCAGCACTAACCCACCTCCCCCTTAAAGGCTAAGAGGTTAGCTGAAATTTACCCGAGCGCTCCAGAGTCAGACAGTGAAATTCAACGGCCTGTCAGATGGGTTGACTGAAGAAAAACAGCTTAAGACTCCAGAGAGCTGCGCACGTCTTTGAATATTTAGAGTCTGGCGCTGACATTTTGATGAGTGAAGTCTCTCGAGTCGCTCCGTTGAAATAAATAATAAAAAAAAATTGCAATCCTGGACGGATATTTTCAAGAGCTGAGGCCGGTGATGGATATCCGGCTTGTCCCTCATCGAATACCTCATTCTCCCAAACACGTTTTTATCATGGCAGCGAGGGTTTTACATGAAATTTGGCTTAGGACTTTGATGTATTTCACCGTCTCACCTCTTGTGGCTGAAGTAATTGCGAATGCGGAGCCTGTTTAGAATCCCTGATGTTCTGACTGCATAAGTAATACGGATCATCGTTCGGTCCGCGGTGCTACATTAAGAACATCACAGAGCAGCAAATGGATCTCTTAGGAGACTTCACTATCATTTCCTTCGACGTGAGTGTTCGCATTTATTGCTCTGGTAACTTTGTGATGACTTTTTATGAATCATGCAGACCACAGGTGTCGAAATCATTTAGGGCCAAAAATAAAACACATGGTACAAGCTTGGCCAATTTTCATTGGAAAAAAAAAATTAGAAAAATTACCTGTTTTTTATTGATAAAATAAGCAAATTTATTTATGTAAAATAAATGTTTTCCTCTTATTTCCTGTAGTTTAGAACATACAGAACTTAATGATTAATGGAGAACGCTTACTTTCCTAACAGAGTCCTTTTCTCTCAGACTGCAGGTTTACTTGTGGTTCCTGGAGTTTCTAAAAGTAGAATGGGAGGCAGAGCTTTCAGTTATCAAGCTCCTCTCTTGTGGAACCAACTTCCAGTTTCTGTCCGTGAGCCTGACACACTGTCTACTTTTATGACTTGACACTTTCCATTGGAATAAACCCTATAGTTAATGTTGGTTTTGGTTTCCTGAGCTATCCCTTAGTTCTGCTGGTATAGGGTTAGACTTCTGGAGGAAAAACTGACCACATTTCATCACTGTTGTTGTCTTTACTCTACGTTTGTCATTATTTCTAACATTAACATGCGCTGCATTTGTCTTTGTTTTTCTTTTCATATAGTCAACACATGGACCACAGGAACCCACTCCTGGACAACACAAATTACACCTGGACCACGAGAGTGTAAATCACCTGCTTTATCACAATACAATATTATTTCAATTTGTTTGGATGACGATACAGTTTCTCATTATTACAAAGTCTGTCATGATACATTTCAATTCAATTCACCGGTCTGCTATCTGTGAGATGCAATATATGTGTCCATAATGCAATCACTTAACGTTATAATTCTATAAATAAATAGTTGTTAGATTTATTGATTTATATTGAGTATGGATCAATGTTTTTGTTTTGCCTCAATGTAATTGAATCATTAATCATTTAATCAATATATTGATGTGGACTGGTGTATTGTCACACCCCTACGGAACCATAAGAACTAAACTTGGACAATAGAACCCACACTTGTATCACAGAACTCACAACTGGACCACAGAAACTTGAGTTGCACAATACTGTATATTGCAAATTTATCATCAATAGCCTGTGCAATAGGCATATCACAAAACACTGCGTCAACTGCAATAAATAGTTGGCTTAAATAAATCAAACATAAAATGAACCAGAGATACCACATCAAATCATAACCACTTGGTGAGTGGAGTAAATGTTGGACAACTACAATGAGAAAATTTGTAATTGGATTTAGGTTTGTTAACTTTTATTTAAAAATCTTTTAACTTATTTTTATATGTTTTTATTAATTAAAAAAATTAAGAGGCATTTTTCAGTATTTAGTGCATCAGAAATGTACAAGGCTAATAATTTAAAATCATTAAGAAACTGTATTGCACGCAGTTTGTTGTTTCACTTCTCATACAGCAGCTGTGTCTAGTTGTACTCAAAAAAAAATAAAAAAATAAACCTGTCCTATTGGAATAGAAATGATGTATTAGTTGATTTTTTTTGCTCTGAACCCAGAGCAGAAAGACATCAACTCTGCATACTGAAGTGTTTGTTCATTTATCACAAGTCATATCGTCATTATTAAACACTGTTATTGCACAATGCAGGTTTTCCTCATATTGTGCAGCCTTATTAGAAACTACACCTGGATCAGTCATTGACTGTTTCCCTGTCTTCTCTAACCACCTGAGGCAAATTGCCGCCCATCCTGAACACGGTCCTGGTTCTGCTGGAGATCTCTTCCTGTTAAAAAGRAGTTGTTTGTTCCCACTGTCGCCAACGTGCTRCTCGGGAGGGAAGATTGTGACGAAATAAAGATTATTTTCTTGGATGCAAGATCATCAACAAGAGTCTGATCGGACTTTTCTACGTTTCTCTTTCCTCGTCAAAATCAAAAATTACTGAAGGAGGCCAACTTTGAAGCCAAAAGAACAACTTAAATACATTTAAAATATTATATTAGGGGCCAGATAAARTGTTATTCTGGTCCAGATTTGGCCTRCGGGCCTTCAATTTTACATCACGTTAGATTTTTTAACATCGCTCATCACCATGAAACTGTCTGTTAGCAAAATATTTCACAAACCAGTGAACAGATCTTAATGAAACTCTCAGGTTGTTACCGAGTCGGGGTGCGTTTTTTGAAGACTTTATACCCTTAAAAATTAAAAATAAAATAAAAACAAACAAACAACAACTCAAAGAGTCCCTGTGTCTGTTTCTGCCATCATAGTTTATTTCGAAAGGATTAAAGTGATTATTTAAGAAAGTAATTACCAACAAAGTCAAAGAGTATCAGAAAAGACAAATTCATGTAAGTACTTGTGTCCTGTGAAATTATAAAATATAATCATGAATTCTTACTGAGTTTGAGATTTTATAAAAAGGTTCAGACATAAGAACGTGGATCAGTAAAAGAAAATTTTTCAATCATGAAGGACAAATTAAAATACAGCCAGTGTTAGACAAAAAGATCTACTGGAGTTGGCTTTTTTTCCACAGTTACATCATCTCTATGTTGATAATTATCGCCACCAACTGTCCTATTAAAGCAACGAATGAAACATTTTTACTTTCCTAAACGCTTTCAATGATTCCTTCCCTCTCTACTGATCTGTAGCCATGAGGACAAATGGGACACCTACTTATTTGGGAGCCGGTGGTGGTCGCTGCGATTGACGTGGATGAGGCGGAGCCTGCCGGTGCCACCCGAGACGTTTTTGCCCATGTCTGCTTCAGCTGCTCTGCACAGCGAGCGGGGCCTCTGGCGCCCTCATGACCCCCGCCCACCTGAGAGCAAGACAGAGAAAAACAGAGAAAAACAGAGAGGGGGGGGGGGGGGGGGTTAGTGCTGCTGTGTTTGGAAGCGAGACCGAAGGAGGAAGGTCAGAGGTCAGGACCGGCCATGGCCACTGAGTTCATGCTGGACTGACAGCAGCTCAGACGCAGAAGAGAGAGAGAAAAAAGTAAAATAATAAGTGCGGTGAGTGCTTATTTCTGGGTCTGTGCGTGCCGTCGCACCATAAATAATAGATGAGCACAGAGGTTGGGAGTGCGGCTGAGGCAACAGGAGCAGGCAACCTCAGGGGAAAAAAAAAATCCTGAGCATCAGACATTCAGAAAGCAGAGATCACTTCTCTGCTACCTGACAGCAGGARAATTTCATATCATCCCTCTCTGTCCTCCTGAACGCTCTGATCAGGCTGAAGCGTACGCTGACGCTGGCTGCAGATATTAGAGGGCAGCTGCTGCCAAACCACCTCTGGTGTTAGAAAAATAAAGACATTAATGACACTTTTAGCTCTAACATCAAACCGATCAAATTTACCCCAGCAGCTCAAAACCTAAATGTATTCAAACTATGATGAAATCAAATAAAAACCAAAACAATAAGTCGTCTCCACTGACTAGCTTCTTTTCACATCCAGTTCAGCTCGCTCCTGATCTGGTTCTGATCGCACACAAAAACTGTTTCAGAGCGCAGGTCGATGTGGTGTCACTGCTCGGTGCCGCTTCTCTTTTAAACTCTATTAAAAAATTAATAAATAAAACATTTGAACAGTCAGAACTCTGTCCACGTCTTTAGCTTTTAGCCATCATCTAAATCAGCTGAGGGCAGGAAAACCGTTTTGCATCGGTGATTTATACTGATTCATTTGATACGGCGCGCAGCCCTAAAATGGACTGAAACGTATAGACCAGGGGTGTAACAATACATCAATCCACATTGATATGTCAAATAAATGATTAATGATTCAATTACATGGACACCAAACAAAAACATTGATCCTATTGTCATCAAATCCCTGATGAAGATCAATATTATATGTCCACAACATATTCCATCATATCAATCACAGACTTGTGAACTGAAAAAAAAAATCTTATAACGACACTTTGTGACACAGAGAAACATCGTATTGTCATAAAAAACAAACCGTATCACAGTAAAGCAGCTGATTTACATCCAAAGTATAAACAATTAGGAATTTTAAAGTACAGGTTCCTCTTTTTGTCTACTCTCCCTTCAGCTGCGGTTCTTATCGCTTCCTGAACGCTCCCCGGCGAGAGGAGCGTTGTGTTGATCTCTGCGGATGAGATGGACTTCTGAAACGGAACACACACACACACACACACACACACACACACAC